TCACTGAAATGGTGTGGGCAGGGCGACACAAGGCTCGGGCTCCAGCCAGGCTGTGAGGCCAGGCAGGGGAGGTCTGTGAGCAGAGGAGCAGGTCTGGGTGGGGCTGGGAGCCCGGGGAAGGCCAGGCCCACTTACGCACAGACCACGACCGAGGAAGGGCCAATGTCCCAGGAAGCCATGGGACAGGAGACTACACGGAAGGCAGGTTTGGGGACCAGGAGCGTTCCTGAGGTGCTCAGACAGATGAACAGAGAGGCAGAACCAGAGGATTCAGGGAGGGCCCCAGAGACAAAGGAGACATCTGGGAACACTGGTGTGACGAAGCCAGGGTGGGTGACTCACAGCGTCACTGCAAAGGCACTGTGAGACGGAGGAACAGAGTTTCCAGTGAACTTAAAAGGAAGGGACGGTCCCTGGCAAGGCCAGCATGGTGGGCTCAGGAGCAGAGGCCTGACGGCAGAGGCTGGGACAGGCTCGGGGCCCCTCTCGGATCAGAGGGATGGACGTGGGGAAGTGGGGCTCTCGCATGCTCACCTAAAAGGCTCGGAGCCTTTGACACAGGGAGGGTGGTCACCCAGCACTGTCCTCAGAACCGACTCATTCCAGCTTCCATACTTTGTGGCAGCACCGTCCCCCTGAATCTGGCCCCTGAAGACCCCTGGCTCTGCCTAGTGTCCTGCACAGAACACCCACAGTGTGAGCCCGCCACGTCCACTGGTGAAGAGGATGAGCGTGGCCTGAACGCCGCCCACACAGCTGCGAACGGTGGGGCATTTCTGGTGGATGTGCCGGTGTAACCTTGGCACGAGGAGGACCTCCTGCCAACCGCACAGGGTGCTGCGCGGCCACATTTGGGGCTTTACCAAAACGGAAGCCCCTGCATAGGAAGCACGGGGCTCAGAGCGGGGCAGGGAGTGAAGGGCAGGGAGTGAAGGGCAGGAGGAAACCAGGGGAGGCGGGCCCTGGCTCCACCCTTCCCACACCGTCCTCTCAGGCAGGTCAGCCCACCTGTGAGACTCCGCCGCCTCCCTGTGCAGGGCACGGGGCGGGGCTCAGCACTCATCCTGCTGGCCGAACAGTGGAGCTGGTGACCGCCTACAGGGCGGCTCTTGGGAAAAAGAAAGAAGGTAATTATGATAAGAGTGCAGGCTCGCCCCGTTGTTCTAAGAGAGTGCACACTCACACCTTCCGTGGAAAAGTGGCCTGCAGGAGGTGAACAAAGGCTGGAGGCTCGACTTTCCAGAGCCCATTTGTTCAGCTCCTCACTCAGGAAGCTACGGGGCCGCAGGCCCTGCGGTCAGGGCCCCTCATTAACATACCCACCTGACTGCTGTGTGATGCCCCAACGCTGAGTGAGCTACTTCCATGCTCTCTGAGGGCACTGTTCAGTAAGGATGCCCTTGTGAAGAATAAAGCATTGTCAAGGGCCTCTCACACTGGGGGACAAACACTGAGGCAGTGAGTTTGCCGTTGGCGGGGGAAGGAAACCGGGACCCCATCCCTGCTGGCTGGCTGAGTGAGAACTCCCCTGGCCATCAGCAAAGCCCTCCGGGCACCGAACAAGCGCGGGGCCAGGTGGGCACATACCTGTGAAATAGAGACGCACTGTGACTCAAAATGAAGAACTGGAAAAGGAGGATGCCTGAGCGGTATTTCAAAATCATTTCAAGAGAGACCTATAATCAAATCATACACTTTTACCCACCAGGAATTACCTCTACGTTAGAAAACTCAAGGAGCAGACATTAAAACTATGGGAATATGAGGAAAGAAGTCACAAAAGCGCCAGCTTCCTCAGCAGAGTGGTCCCCCTTCTCCCATCTGTCTGAGGGGCAGCGACAGTCTCCAGGGCTCCAGAGGGGCTGGCAGGGCAGCAGGGGGAGAGGCCATGGCCAGTGCAGCGGCCAAGGGGCGCGCACGGGCCCCACGAGTGCAGGGCTGCCCGACACGTGCTCGTCTGCACGGGCAAAGCCGCGGCGGGCGTGCTGGGAGGGAGCCGCTTCTGTAGGTGCCTTTCTGGTCCAGCATCTGCACAGAAACCCTCTGCCTTCTGAAGCGCACAGATGAAAGACAAGGTCTCTTTCGCTTCGACAGGACGGGCTCGCGGCAGCTCTGCTGGCACCTTGGGTGACCTGCTCTGTGACTACGGGCCTATCCTTCCCACTCTGAGCCTCTGGGCGAAGCACACTATACACTTATCACTAAAAATTGGAAGTGACCTCTGAACAGTAAACTGCAGACATTACTAAACTTCAACACCATGAAGTTCCCAAATCTCCCCAAATGGTTTTTCTATTTTTTCATAGAAAGCACAAATTACAACTGTAGTCCGAAATGTAAAAAAAAAAAGAAATTTAACAGAAAAAGGATTCAAATCGTATCACTGTGTATATTTACTTCCTTTCCTTTAACGTAAGCCATTAACTTTTTAAACTAAAAATCAATGAAATTAATATACCGAACAATAATCTGACACGACCACCACCCCTCAGCAAGTTCGTCAAGAGCTGGGACTGTTTTTTAAGCAGATTCACTACAAATCGAATTCAAAGAGCAAACTCTTCTACCTGTGGAACATTTTTAAAGACAAAAAGAAATCCTATTTCCAAATTTATAAAAAATAGGTATACAGAGCTACCTTTCATAAAGTGGCAACTTTTCTACCAAAGTAAACCACAGCTGGCCTTGGAAAATGCTGGAATTTTAACACTGAACCCTAAACTACACTTTCAAAACTTATCTCAAAACTCTATACCAGTATTCTTGTGTATATTCTACTAAAATTAGGTATAATCAACAATTAATTCAATGGAGAATTACAGACACCAACAATGGCACTGCGTTAAATGAACAAAAGAAGGGAGAGCCGGAGCCGACAATGAGAATTGCTGGAAACACTCATTTGCTGAAGCAGCAGCTCTCCCTGCGGTCCCCGGACCCGCTGCGGAGGGAGGGCCGGCTCCCGGGCGGGAAGACAGTCTGAGAAGCACCGGAGCAGGGGGGTCCGGCCAGAGGCCCACAGGCCGTCTGCAGCTCAGGATGGCTGTGAACGCGGCCCAGCACGAAATCATTAATTTACTTAAAGTGTCATGAGATTTTTTTTGTGACCAGGTGTCATAGTGCATCTACTGTGTGGCCCCAGACAGCTCTTCTCCTTCCAGTGTGGCCCAGAGGCGCCACCAGGCTGGACAGTCCTGACAGCCTTCACGGCAAATGCTCAAGGTAGAAAGATGGGATCTAATCAAACGAAAGGTGAACGTAAAACAAGGATACTTTGCTTTTCACTACTGAATAGTGTTAAATTACCTTTTATCCAAGAGAGCGATGACTGTGTAGCAATAAAAATGACCTATTCTTGTCTCATCACAATGGCTGGAATCTACAAAAATGTTCATTATGTCTAGTGAAAAGTAGAGAAATGGTATTTGGCCCCAGGATTTTCCCAAGAACAAGGGAGGCTGAGGTTAAAACATCAGGACACCATGCCTGCAGCTCAGGGAAACGAGGACACACTGCGCGCCACACGAGGTCCTGAGCAGGTATGTGCCCCACCCCTTGTCGATCTGCACGTGACCTTGGGCACATCACTTCCCTCCCGGAATCCCCTTTCCTCCAGGCTCCTCCAGGCTTTCATTTAAGGGAAAGGAAGTCCTGCAAACCCCAGCTGCTGCGAGTTATCACTCGCAGGCCCAGACACCTGCTGACACAGAAAGTCTATTCATTAACCTCTGCCCGTCACCTCCCGTAACTCACGGCCTGTTTCATCTGTCAAACCCCGGAGCCTGCTCAGCGGAGCAGCTTCCTGCAACGAGACGGCCCCACGACAGGGCTCACCAGTATGGGAGGCAGGCATCACTTACCCTTTCCCAAACTGACCAAGTTTTGATTTTTTGTGTTAGCATTAGAAGTTTTTAAGTCAGACGCATTTGAACAAAAAACAACTTCAAAATTCTCCTTGAAAGGGAACAGGAACAGCAGTCTTTCCAACCTTGTGGGTGCAGGTCAGGCTATCCACTGTACCTCCTCCTGGAGAGGGTATCAAGCATTTGGGTTTGGCAGGTCACTGATGAACTGGGACTTTGGGTGAGTCATATGGACTCGGGACATTTTAGTTTCCTCCATTATTGAAACACTGAAAGGGAGGAATGAAGAGTCTGGGCTGGGGGACCTTGAAGGCCTCTGCAGCTGCCGACCCAGACAAAGACCCGTGCTGTCCGCGCGGTGCTGCGTCCTCCCTTGGGGCCACACCCCCTTCAGACAGCTGCGGGGATCCGTGCTCCGGAGTCCCCAGGTGTGCCGGAGAAGTGCCCCAACGGCGCAGGAGAGGGGACTTCCCGGCAGGAGCCACAGCTGGGCCTCTGTGCACAAAGAGAACAGCCGGATGCCCCCCACCCTGGGCCCGGGAGCCTGCGGACTCTCCGGCACTTCCGCCCAGGAGGAACTTTCCCCACATGATCGGCAACGCTGCCCAGCATCTCGCCCAACAGTTGTTCTTTCCTTCTCTTTCTTTCGTTTCTTTCTTCTACATTTCTTATAGTCATCAAGTTTTTATTGTGAACATTACCAAGCTATTTTAAAATTCATAAGGGATAGTATTCTAAAATAGGTCTGCTAGTTTCTGGGGTAAAATCGAAGAGGAAAAGGCGAGCTTTCTACAGGGCAGGTGAGAGCTGGTTTAGGTGGCTGAGGAAATGGAGTAATGTCTGTCCGACTTCGCCAGCAGAGCCGAATCTCCATGAAGACACAGGGAGGAACTTACCTCATATTCCAACTAGGAAAACCTCCTATCAGTTTTTAAATGTCAGGATACATAGAACTTCTACTCTTGGAAAAACTTTAAAAACCTTTAAGAACCAAATGTAACCAAGACGAAAAGAGAGAAACCTATTTTATAATGGTTGCAACTACTAGATTGTTAAGTAAACACTTTATATGGTGGCAAAAACACATCCTCTAAAGCATGAGAGCAGCGCTTCCGTGCACTGGGAGCACTTCCTTACCGATATTGGGGTGCTTCAGGAGACGGCAGATTCTAGCTTCCCTTTCTAGTTTCTGATGATCTGTTAAAAACACAAAAACAGAAAAATTAGTCACAACTCTGGCAAAGAAGATGAAAGGACAATAAACTGTACCAAAATGATGCACGGCTGCACATTTACTTATCCTTTGATTTCTTTCTATAAACTCAATGAAAAACCTGAATTTGGAATTGCATGAACACAGCATCGTTTTTAACGACCCAGTTTTCTTCCTTCCCCTTCACTAGCCTGACGCCGGACGACCGTGGAAACATCAGAAACACGCGTCCCCCCGCGTCTCTACGGTAAGTGCAGGCGGCACGGCGCAGTAAAGCGGCGGTGCAGACGGGATGCCGCACGGGGCGCAACCCGGACACCTGGAGCGGCGGGGCCGGGGCAGGCGGGAGCGGCACGGCCTGTCCCTGAGCTGTTGTCACCTTTCCCGATGGACACTCTTCACACAGCTGTCCCCTCCTCTCCCCAGGGGACCACACTCCTCTTCACCCCACAGGCCTGCCCGCCCCAGCCTGCTGGCTCTTCTCCACCCGCCTCCGCCCCCCAGCCGTGTCTGGGGAGGGGCAGGGACCCTGGAAACCACATCTTAAGAACTACCTGATGTTCCTCTCGGTTCCTTTGTCATGGGCCGTGCATGTAATCATAACCCAAGTCACGACCCAAGCACAAAGCAATGGCGGAGCGAGGCAAGAACACTGCCAAAACCCGGGCGGCCAACAGGCAGCCGGGGGAGAGGCCCCCTGCAGAGCCTCAAACCTGAGGGCGGCCCTGAGGGGGCAGTGCCGCGGCCCTGGCTCTCGGGCAGAACAGCCTCGGCGGAGCGAGGCTGCGTCTCCCAGATCACAGACCCAGCAAGTCAGCGCTCAGCTCTCGTCAGCCAACCAAACAGCCTTGAAAGGCCGTGGGGACGACGGGCCGGCCACCAGGGCGGGTCTGCCTCCGCTGTGCTGCACTCTGGCCACCTACCCTCCCTGCTCCTAACACCGTCAGGAGCCCCCGAGAGCTTCCGCTTGTGTGCGTTAGATCTATGAACAGACACTCTGGTAGAGATATAATACCCTGAGGAAACTTACGGTATACACTTAGCCCGTTTAAAAACAACAACAAACCTGCTCACATCAGCGTAAGTCACTGCATTTAAATGTTAAACTTCTATTCGGAAATGACTGAACCACAAACAACTGGGAGCAAAAGAATAGTGTACAAACACCTGCACATGATGATCCAGATCCGTTTCTTAACACTTCACCCACTTTTAATTGTTTACACTCTTTCCGCCCGTGCACGTGTGTGCATATGTGCACGCCCATTTGCTGACATGTGCATATATGCCAACACACGTGTGTATTTATACCTAACACAATCCTCTCTACACCACTTGAGGGTAAGTAGTTTAGGACACTGTCAAACACACGCAGTGCGAGTGACGGCCCGAAGAGAAGCGTGACTGGTCGCGCGGGGCAGACACCCGCCCGCGCTGCCTCCGGAGACCGCATAGGCTCCCCTAAACGTGCGCGCGTTAGTCGCTGCCCCCCATTCTTCAGACAAGCTACTCCTAGAAAATCTTACTTAGAAACACACTGCTGAACCAAACACAGGTTTGGAAAGGGCACCTAAGCCCATCTTCAACACTGTGAAGTGTCACGTGTAAGCACACAACAGACTGCTTTTAGGATTCGTTCTGTGAGGGAGAGAGGGACGTGCAAATATGCGCAACCAGGAGACAGAATCAGACGACCGACGTGGAGTGACGCATGCTGACTCCGGTTCATGCGTGATGATGTGCGACACAGACCAGGCAGCGGGAAGCCGTGCTGACCAGAGTGGCAGGACTGCCGCTGGGAGCCATGCCCCCGGAAACCTGCGTGCTGAGTCCTGACCCCGCGCCTCAGAACAGGACTGCCTCTGGAGAAGGCTTTTCAAGGGGCAGTCACGTTAAACCGTGGCCATGAGGGCGGGCCCTGCTCCAACCCGACAGGTGCCCTCGTGAGAGCGGGCTAGAAAATGACCTGCAGGGAGGCCCGCAGGACAAGGCAGGGGACCTGCGAGCCGGGGAGATGGGCCCCGGGTGGAGCCAGCCCCCAGCGCTCGAAGCGCTTCTGCAGCTGCCGCACCTGCGAGATCCGAGGGGGCGGCAGCCGGCTCACCGACACGCCCACCCGCTGTTAGGGAACAGGCTGCCACAAAGGCAGAATCCTGGAAGGACACAGTTGCTGAGGGTCAGGGCGTGGGCGCCCCTGAACTGCGCCCTTTGAGGGCCTGTCAGGGGACATGGAAGGCACCGGCCAGGGTTCAGGGCTGGCGTGTCCCCCTCTTGCTGAGAAGGACGTGCCCCCAGGCCCACAGCCTGAGGGACTGCACTCAGGTCCTCAGGAGCCGCTAAGCTGAGGGACTGAGCTCCCTGCTAGGCTGAGGACCAGAGGGCGGAGGCTGCCCTGGGTGCCCAGGTATTGCCAGCACTTGGCAACTTGCTTCATCAAAGTCACCAAGGGAAAGAATCTGCTGGCAGAGGCACATACGTCCCTGCCCTTCTTATCTAGGTTAATCACAGAAGTGACACTTTGTCACAGTAGCCACATTCCATTGGTTCGACGCAAGTCCCAGGCAGGCCCACTCGGAAGGGGCAGTGCTGGGCCATCTAGACCACAGCTGACTGTGTGGCTCCATAAGCCTTTTCGCTGGGCCCCGAAACTCAGTGATCCCCAGGACTCTGGGGCAGGCTGTGACACTCCAAGCACCATAACAGAACTGAATTTTTCACAAAAAGCAGAATTCACCGATAACGGAAATGCTTCCCTTTCAATGCTTAGCTCTCAGCTGCACGTCAGAGGGAGGAGGAGGTGGGGGGGTCACTCACTGCTGGTTACCAAAGACCATTTCTGCGTCCGCCCCGTGACGACATGGGTCAGGTTCACACTCAGAACGTCCCTGCCTCTAGCCTGGGTAGCCACGGCACTCACTCCACCTGTGCCCTCACTCCCAGCTCGCAGTTTTGGGGGGACTGCAATCCTGCCTGCGCCCTGTGTGGGGCGCTGCTGCCAGGCACAAGCCCTGCAGCTGGGGAACAGCAGCTTCGTCCCGCTGTGTGTTCACCTTCGCTCTTCCTTGGAAGCCCAGGCCCACGCCAGGCCAGGAACAGAAGCATCACCTCAGGCTGCTGTCTGGTCAGGCTCAGCGGCAACACAGGCTGAAGACCCGCCCTGGAAATGGCATCTGGGGAAAACAGCACCGTTCTGCACGGAAGCCATGGGGAAGAGCATCACCTGGCAGAGAGAACGCTGAACTTGAAGTTTCTCAGAATTCTAAGGCAATGTACTTACTTCTTCCTGGGTGTATTTTTTTTTTAAACTTCAAAAAATTTTATTCTAAATGAGGAGACACATGTGAATGCAAACTCCCTGCTGTCCTGAATCGAGTGTTTGCCTTTACCCAGAAGGGCTCTGGTCCGGCGGTGACTGGGGTCGCTCTCCCAGCGCAGTGGGGTGGCACCAGAGCCCCTGAGGGTTCGGCCACTGCCACCAGACGGCTGCCCCCAGCGAGGAGCCTCAGTAGCATGTCCTCTCCTGGGGAGCTGCCCGAAGTCACAACTTTCTTAGAGAGGCGACAGCCCATCACCATCATCAGCGTGGATTGTTAAATTGCTGGAACTCCATGAGGCCCTGGGGGCCATCGGCTCTGCCCACCACGCAGGGCTGCCCGGTCAGCACAGGCGAAGCCAGGGGTTTGGGCAGCAGGCCAGTCAGATGCCCCAGACCAAATGCATATTTGAGTGCGCAGGTGCCACATGGGGAAGGTCTGGATGCCCCGCAAGGCACAAGCCCACCCTGGGATTCACAGGGAAGTCCTGGAGGAACAGCCCAGGTCCCTGAGGTTGGGACCTTAGCTGCAGCCCCAGCAGACAGACAGACAGGCAGCCCCTGTCCCTCTGCCCCTCCCCGGCACCCCTCCCCTGTGCGCCCGGCCCTGTGCCTGACCTGACATCAGCCCTCAGACCTGCTGAGTCTGGAGGGTGGCTCACCCTGCTCCTCCGGCTTCTGCATGACAAACAGCCCAACTTGATCCTCAACTGGTTCACATCTGTTTAGTTTCTAAGAAACTCAAGTCCAAGTGAGACACACTGCCCCGCCCCGAGACCAGGCTGTCTGGCCATTCCCACAGAAGAGGAGAAGGCCCGGCCCGTGGCCCGAGTGTTCGCTGCCAGCTCTACCTGCAGGGCGTCCCCAGGAGAGCACGCATGCATGCTACCATGTGCTGCCTGACCATGGGTGAACGACTGCCCCTTCCCTGCACTGCAGCTGCTATGAACTGAGGAAGCAAAACCATGAAGACACCCTACAACCATACAACCACACGGCACCGGCACTGAGGGCCTGGCAGGCATCTGGATAGAAGGCCGGTGTTCCCTGTATGGCCCCGGAACACTGTTGGGGTCACACCTCACATGCATTTCGTTGGAGAAGTGACTCCCCGCTCAACAAGGTGGGAGAGGCTGTCGAGCTCACGGGCCAGGTTGAAGGCCACACTGCAGGTCACTAGGAGCTCCTTGGAGGGTCAGCGTGTCATTAAACCTGAGCACATTGCTCCCGGATCTAAAACTGTCATCTTCGTTAAGAAGAGGGGTTTAAATTGATAATTAAATACGATACTTTCATTCTGATCTACGCTTAATCCATGACACAAGTTTGATATTTAACTCTGACCTGCATTCCCTCTGACGTCAGGTGCTGGTCACCCATCATCCAGGGATGGTCCAGGAGGCAGATGGCGTTGGAGCCTGCGAAACCCACCCACGCTCCGCCACACACAGCGCTCCAGATCGGCGCCACCTGAGGAGAACAGCACGCCGCTCCACCCCTCCTGGAATCACAGGGCCCCCGTGACACAGGTGAAGCTCCTGGGGATCCTTTGTCACCTGGGGGTGAGCGCTGCTCCCTAACTCGCGCCCTCCCGCACCCACTGGGGCCACCCACTGGCTTCAGTCCCTCCTGGACTCTGAGCAGAGGACGGCTGTTCTCTGCAATGTAAAG